ATTTACTAGCTGGAACTTAAAATGAAGTTTTTTTAGCGAGTACCTTCAGGTGGACACTTGGATCCATCAAAGCCACAAGTGGGCGTGTCCGGTGGAGCTTCGGTTCTGCCCCCTGCCCAGTGAATGCTGAGGTTGGCCACTGGCTCATACTGTTTGCTGTTGCCGAAATAATTGGCCACAACCTGGGGAACAATCCAATTACACACGATCAAACATTTGTTAATATATGGACCTTCAGATCTGTGCTTTTGGAAGTTTAAGATGTCTATCTAGGTACTTTTTTCAGTGGGCACTACCATGGCGTGGACAATGACTAATAATCGATATATATATAGATATATATATATATATATATATATATATATATATACTATATATATATATATATAATTTTTATATATGATCATAAAAAGTTTTGTTAGTCCAAAATTCTTAAAGTTTTACATGTTCGCTAACAATGTATTAATTCCCTTTGAAAAAAAAAAACTAGTTATATTTGTTATTTACGTCTTTTGACTTACTTTAACCAAGGGAGACTACTAATAAGAAGCATGAAGGTAATAAAAGATACGCTATTTTTGGCTCATAATAAATTTTTCTTAGAGTTTTAAAATACTAATATATGCATTTTTGAAATGTGTAATTTAATAATTAATCAACTTTAATTTTCATACATAATTTTGTTTTTAATTTTACATTATAGTAAATTTTAAAGGCTTATCGGTATAAAAAAAATATTTGTCTTAAGTTACGAAAACTTCAATTTGAAAATCATTGGTTATCTCTAAAATTTTCAGCCCAACTTTTAATAAGAAATACGAACAGACGAAATTTTAAACTATACTTACTATTACCGTAAAATCAATAAGGCTAATTCTTCAGCATTAAAAATTAAAAACTAAATATATATATTTATAATTAACACATTCGTTTGAAAATATACATTAATATAATTGTATAAAAATACCTTTACGTTAAAAACTCATAAACAACTACGAAAAAAAAAAAGTTACAATTTATTCGTATCCAGAAAAAAGGCCAATACTTGAAACATTCCTCACCCTGAGCCCTAATGACCCGGATATTTAGGCTCCACATTTATTACAAAAGCCACAGAAGCTGCACCCAACAGAAAGCGTTTAAAATAATTTACAGCCCACCACACTTCTTCTGCCGACCCCCACCCACCCCCAGCACCAGGGGTAGATGAATACCGGGATAAAAAAAATTTCCCGTTCAAGAATTGAATTTTTTAGTTATAGCTTTCACTGGCCCTCGGTCGATGGCTTCCATTCACTTCTAGACACTGTAACAGCCTCTTCACTGCAGGGAGACTATCTATTTTATTCTATGATTTATATTGGATCTTCGGAAATTGTTTTCGTCTGTTTTTGTTATTACTGCTTTCTGTTTTATTAGTTTTTCTCGTAGTATATATATATATATTTATAAATATATATATATAAATATATATATATATATATATATATATATATATATATATATATATATATATATACATATATATATATATATATATATACATATATATATATATATATATGTATATATATATATATATATATATATATATATATATATATATATTATATATATATATATATATATATATATATATATATATATGTATGTATGTATATATATATACACACTTGATTTATAAAAGCAAAATTAATATCTTGAAATAAAATTAATTTCGTGATTTATGTCAGATGATAGAAATACATTTTGCCAATTTTGTTTCAACTTTTATATTTTTTTTATTAACCTCGTTATTACTCCTAAATAAATAATTTTTCTACATCAACCCCCCACCACCCCACCCCCTTTTAAAATGCACGTATTAATAATAATCCCCTCTCTTCAGAAACTAAACCTTATCCCTACCCAAACACCGTAGCCGTAACTCTTCCTTGAGAAAAAAGTGAAAAAAAAAACCGCTACAGTGCGCCCAGGTTTCTGAGTGCAAAATGTGAGTACAGGTGCACATTTCTGGTGCATATTTTTTTCCGTGCATACATTTTAGGAACAACATTACACAATGATAAAATGTCTTCATTTGAATGAAAACTAAATTAATATTTCCATGATCTCAACTAAAGGCTTCACTTAATGTAAATCCCCTCCCCCCCCCCGCTCCCGGATCTCTGTGTGAAATATAAAATTATTTTTTCGGTTTATTATTTTTCTGGGCGTTTTCGTGAGTTCTAATCTGATTTCATTCACATACAAAAAAACATGCCAATTTTTAAATGTTATATTTCAGGAAAAACAAAACCCGAATACAATTGATCTAGAATGTCTAGCAGATAATTTCAGGGGAAACAGCTGTCGCACGCTATTTTAAAAACAACACGCTAAAGTTTAATGTTACAACAGATTTTCCCCCTCCGCTCCCCTACACACTTTATCCTCATTTAAAGGGGTCATCCATTTATGACGTCCACAATTTTTTTCGGATTTTGGACACCCCCCCCCCCCCCCCCGTCCACAAAAATCCACTTATTTTCCTTATATAAGTCCATACGCGTCCGCAAAAGTCAGTTTTTTCGGACCCCCCCCCCCCCCCCCCCCGCATGTGGACGTCAGAAATGGATGACCCCAAACACATTGTGAAAAAAAAAAACAGCCTTTCGTATCTAGACTGTAGAGACGGTCGAACTATGTTTATAAGTATGGTCAATTGTTGACCAATTACTATTTAAGTCACAGTTTCGAACCTGACGGTTCATATTGCAAAAGAAGTAGAGTTCACCTGTTTAAGTGACTTCGGGTATATGAAGGGATAGTGGGGTCATCACTCTATCCAACCCCATTTCAAGTCCGGTACCTATCAAAGCTGGGTGGTCTCAGTGAAGCATTACATAGGTTGAAAATTTTGCCTTCATTGCCTGTTTACACTTTAATCTCTAGAACTGATACAACATATTATTTCTAAACCCCCTTGTGATTCTTAACCTTTAACCTCCCCTACCTCACCTGCTCCAAGCTAAATGCAGTTTCTCTCCCCCCCTACCTCCCCCCCACCAAAGAATGTTTACCGCTCCCCCCCCCGGAAGGAGATGGAAAGCATATACTTTTAACAGTGTCCGCCTCCCCCCCACCCCCCGGAAATTATTTTCCGATCCCCCCGAAAATATCAAGAGCCCCCACCCCCCCCCCCCCCACCCGTAGAAAAAAAAGTCTGGAAGAAACACTGGCTAAGTGGAGGTTTATTATTGCGATATCCCGACCCCTATAGTTCCAAGTTGCCAGATTTTTTTACCCCCTCTAAGCCCCAACACATTGCCAGGTAGCAAACACATCCAGCCCAACAGTGGCCAGTTGTGACAGCGGCCCGTCACACGTGACACTTATCCGTCACCACGTGATTCATCCGGCCGGCCCCCGGGCGTAGCATGCGAGACAGATATGGCCGTGAACTGCTCCGTCAGGGCCGGCAGACGACCGGCAGACGACCGGCAGACGACCGGCAGACGACCGATACAATCGGAATATTTCATCACGGAATTTGTCCACCATGAAATAGATTTCAGGGGCGTTAATACAATCACCAAATCTCTGGGGACAATCAAGCTTACAGACAAGCGGACAAGGTCTTTGTATTTCTCAATTGCTGTGCATTTGAATAGGTATTATATATATATATATATATATATTATATATATATATATATATATATATATATATATATATATATATATATATATATATATATATATATATATATATATATATATAAACCAGTATACGGATTTGGGATTCTGAACCCTATTTGGAATAGGAAAAACCGGTCAACTCTATTAGAAGTTGAAGCAGCTGTAATAACAAGGACCAAACTTGAAGGAATCGCCCAGAACCGAGTACGATGGAGAAGTGTGGTTGCGTCCCTATACCCCATAAGGGGTCCACAGGAATGCTGAGTCATGCTAAGATTGGCTATGTTTTATATGGGATACTATTTGTGTTGAATTAAACGGAACAGTGCGGCCTGGATGTAGATTGAAGAGCTACTAATTTAAAAAATAAATATTTCCAAACCCACAATTTTTTTCCTTTACATTTTGTTTTGTATAGATGAGAAATAGGTACTGATAAGGACGTGGTAGGGCAAGAGAGCACATGAATGCTAACTCCAAAAGTCCTGAGTTCGGACCTAGGGCCGATGTGTCTTGTTATCAGGGGACATCAACCAATATAGGAGAGATAACTCTTAAAATCAATCAACTGCTGGTTTGCTTATTGTTCTTGGTTGGACAATGGCTTATGGTAGCAAACCCAGAGAGAAAAGCAGTGGTAGAAGCCAACGGGCCCAATGGCACTATCATGTTGACACGAAAAACATAATGTACTGTAGGATATCCACTCCAAAAATGTAGAGAAGAAGAAAATGCAGAGAAGAAGAAAATGCAGAGAAGAAGAAAATGTAGATAAGAAGAAAATGTAGAGACATCAGACGAGCATAAAATGTGTGTCCAGACGTGTTTAGACTCACCCTGAACATTGACGTGGTCGGGTCCATATCCATGAGGGAGTAATCCGCGTTTCTGTCACCATTGCCGTCAATGCTTACTTCCCCTGTGATACCTGAAGAATAAAAAAAAAAAGTAATTAGCGATCTAATGTTCAGTTTTTACATTTTTTGTTTGTTTGTTTATGTTTTAACCTTATCGTACCTTAACGATACGCAGAGCATAACAACACAACAAAAAACAACAACAAAAAACAAAAACAAAAGCAGTAATGTAAGTTTTAAAAACAATTTACCCCAAGATGATTCATATTACTTAAGCACTTCAAGACTGACCTGACTGAGATTATGCAATATATATATATATATATATATATATATATATATATATTATATATATATATATATATATATATATATATATATATATATATATATATATATATATATATTTACATATTCATATGTGTGTGTGTGTGTGAGTGAGTGTGTGTGTTTTGAAGGAGGACAATGATTAGCTACATCCACAATGCTGTAGCTTACGTATTAGCGACAATACGACGTTGTGACCTACGTATCAGCTACCCCCACAACGTATTTGCCTATGTTTTAGCGACATCATATTTTGGCATGGTCTTTGGCAGGTTTACCACTAAAATGGGAAAGGGGGGGGGACAAAAAGTTAGAAAACTTTATGTAAGCATCGTGTAAAATTTTATTCATCTTGAAGAACGCAAAACATAACCTTGAACCCTACCCGTGGCCGGCCTAGATGCAAAATACCCCCATCTCCCACATATATCTCAATCTTATGTCTCCCCCCCCCCCCCCCACCCCCATCCCCGAACCGACGCGAATGTCATGAACATGACAAGAATAGACAAATATTTTTTCTTCGCAAAATCGATATCGCGAAAACTATGACCACAATCCAGCGGCTAAATATTATAATTAGGAGTGGCACGCGTCACGCGTTGGTGTCTGTCGTATCGCATTTTCCCATGTCTTATCAACGCGAAACAGTTTACTCTGCTTATACAACATGCAAGGGGAGGGAATCTCGTGCTCAGAGTTATCCTCCCGCGTTCTTTGTGTATTGAGGATGTGAAGAGGTTGAAGAGTTTGCTTTGGGGGGGGGGGGGGGGGGGGGGGATGGAATGGGGGGGGGGAAGGAGTTTTTGTGTGAATGGATATTTGGGGGGGGGTGGAGTTCGTGTATGTGTGGTTATGGGGGGGGGGGGGTTGTGTGGGTGTGTTAATTGGTATGGGTGGGGGGGGGTGAGTTTGTGTGTGAATGGATATTGGGGGGAGGGGGGGGGGTTCGTGTATGTGTGGTTATTGGTGGGGGGGGTTGTGTGTGGTGGTAGGGGGCTTGGAGGGAGGCCTTACTGTTGCCTCATTTGGCGAGAATTGATTGGGATGTCATCTTAAAATGTGCATGTTTGCTCACGCGTTTGGGAGGCGTCGCGCAGGTTCTGAAAATATTGCTCAAGTGTTCTGAAGTGAGCTCCCCTTTTGAAACTTTTTTTCCCCTCGTTCCATGGACCGGTTTAACAGGAAGTTGAAGGTCAGGGACACAGACTAAGATAACGAAAATGTACGAGATTTGATCGTCGTAATCATATTTTACCGTTCACGACCTTCAGATTCGAGCCAGGGATTCAAACTCGAGACTTTCGGGTTAGTATTCGGTAGCTTTTTCATTCGGACCACGCCGTTCACAAGAGATTAAATACAAATTTTATTGCTTTTAAAAAATTTATAAAAACTTCTTGTTTTGATATATTAGAGCGAAATTTTCAAAAAATAGTTTAGCTGTCCCTAAGAGATTAAATATATTTTTAAACATATTTTTAAAATACTTTTTTAAAATTCTCATTTTTATATTTTAATTAGAACAAAACTCTTTAAAACTTTGTTTAGTTGCGGTGGCTTTTAAAAGTGTTTTTCCCTTAATCCGTTATAAGCCTAGGATTTACTCTAAGAAAGTGTAATAGGTTTTAGTGAAGTCATTCATGTGTTTAATTTAAAAAAAATAATTGAGGGCAACCTTAAAATTCAAACACAAGCACGATGAAAAGATGACACATAAACGCACTTTCAATAGTGAATATAAATTAGGCTAGACGTCTTGGCATAGATGTGGATTTGGGTTAATTGTGTAACAGATATATTGTCAGGTTATCCTTAATATCATCCCAGTATGTTTGTAAAATATTTTATGACGAAGCTGCCAGTATCGGCGTGTATATACGTTAATTTGTTTAGCATAGCTATGACAATCCTAACCTCTAACTGTTGACACCCCGAAACTACTCTTAACCTAGCCCAAATTTTGTACGAGCACTGACCTTATCCATTGTCTTTACTCCCACACGTTTCTTATATCTAACGCTAATCCGTTAAAAAAACAAATAAGCTCTGTTTTTTTACGGTGATCGCAAAATAACCCAAAAATGTTTCAGAGGGTTATTCATGAAATAAATAACTTAAGGAAAAAATATCTTTAAACAGCACCCTAAGACACAGGGTGCATCAATTGTTGAAACAAATCACCCACCCCCTGATTTAGAATCTAAACTTGCGAAATCGGAAATGATTGGGGTAAAGTCTAAAGAAAGGTGGGCTTTAGTTTTGGCCAGTCTAGAAAGATAAATGATTTGTGTTGATCTGGAAAAATTGATGTTGTAGGTTTGGAAAGATGGTCGTTGTAGATTTGGAAAGATGGTTGTTGTAGGTTTGGAAAGATGGTTGTTGTAGATTCGGAAAGATGATTGTTGTAGGTTTGAAAAGATGATTGTTGTAGGTTTGGAAAGATGATTGTTGTAGGTTTGGAAGGATGGTTGTTGTAGATTTGGAAAGATGGTTGTTGCAGATTTGAAAAAAAAATGGTTGTTGCAGTTTTGGAAAGATGGTTGTTGTAGGTTTGGAAAGATGATTGTTGTAGGTTTGGAAAGATGATTGTTGTAGGTTTGGAAAGATGGTTGTTGTAGGTTTGGAAAGATGGTTATTGCAGCTTTGGAAAGATGATTGTTGTAGATTAGGAAAGATGGTTTTTGAAGATTCGGAAAGATTGTGGTTGCAGTGAAGCATGTGAAGATTGATGAAAATCATGTACATTACATTTGATTTCGAGCCTAGTTTGATTGTGATTTAACACATACGACTTCAACTAAGAAATGGACACGGTTAATTTTAATAAACGTAAAATATTTTGTATTACAATTGTCTTTTAATACTTTATTAAGGCATCAGCGTTTTTTTAAAATATAAATTGATGCCTAGGTAATTAAATTTTTTTTTCAAGTCTTACAATGCTAACTTTAAATTACATGTACTTTGAAGCTAAATCATTACATTATATTACTTTGTATTGTGTAATGTTTGATAGTGGGTTCAGCTCTTATATATATGAGAGTTTTCTAATACAGGGTGATTATTAAATGAGCGTATCCCGATCTGGATGCAAATTATAACCTGTAGTCGGGGAATGTAATTAATTCAGGATACATTCGTCACGACATAATCACGTGACACGTCAATGTAAAATAGCTTCGAGCCTTTTCGATTGAGAAATATAAATTATTAGTGATGACGAATTTCAGATTCAATTTTTGTGTTGAAAATGTCAATAATAGCTTGACGTAGGGAGTGATGTGATTGCAGGACTTTTAACAGCGACATACGACAAGTGATGTAGGATATTGGAGGACCTAGTGTAGAGGCAGTGCGTTTAGGTACTATCTCTGAAGTCTTGAGTTCGGTTCTTAAGGTATGAGGTCAGTTAGAATAAGTAAAGGCGGCCGAGTAAAGCGCTAAACCTTCATAATCCTTGGTCAGTATATATATTAAGGTATTAAAGCATACTTTTGCTTATCAAGCTCCATACAATAGTTGAAGTATAGTTTGACTGTAGTACATTAATACGTATTCCCTTATCGTTAGATATGTTGGAGCGAATGGTCACTTTATACTCTGGGCAGTTAAAATATAGTTAAGTAGGAGTACCTAAATCTATAGTCCTTGTCTAAGTCCGTTCCTTATGTAGTTATATCAAGAATCTTTCATGACACCGATGTATGTTTCTACACCCCATGTTGTTTTCTGCTACATCTTATAAGGACATTTAACTTACTAATCACCCCCCCCCCCCACCACACACATACCTCATACACCGTGTTGGAGACACCACATCGTCATCAACTAAGAAATAACGACTGCACTATGTCTCGACCTACGTACTAACGGTCCCACTGTCTCGACCTACGTACTAACAGTCCCACGGTCTCGACCTACGTACTAACGACCGCACTATGTCTCGACCTACGTACTAACGGTCCCACTGTCTCGACCTACGTACTAACGGTCCCACTGTCTTGACCTACGTACTAACGGTCCCACTGTCTCGACCTACGTACTAACGGTCCCACTGTCTCGACCTACGTACTAACGACCGCACTATGTCTCGACCAACGAATGAACGGCCCCACTCTGTCTCGACCTACGTACTAACGACCGAACTATGTCGTGACTTACGTACTTATTACTCCCCCCCCCCCCAGGTTGTGTTTAACACAAAAAAAAACAAGCAACAAAGCAAACCCCATGTACCAGCCATGATTATTACTGGTGTTATCAATATAATTCTTCAACAGCTACGGGACACTGGACAGTTTCACTAGATAGCCTCGAACTACATGCTCGATTGGGGGATAAGAACGGACTTATCACCATTGACCACATAATCTTCTAGAAGTCGTGCTACACTCACCTTTCCACACCAACACCCGCCAACGTTAAGTTAATTACAAGGGTGTCTTTACTTAACGCCCTGAATGTTATAAATAATTAGCAGGCAAAAAGCCACTTAACAAAGTTATATCGCCAGTCTACAAGAAAGTTTTATATTTTGTTATGTTTTTACCTTTTAGACGGTTTTAAAATGTGTGAATGCCTTTTAGCTTTTAAAAAGAAACATAAATTATTGCTTGCAATAACGTATGCATATAAAAGCACAACAGGGATATTAAAATTGGACATCTATACATTTTTGTTATTTATAAATCTACCCACTTCTAATGTATATTGTTTCAAATATTTATAGTTACATTTAAAGGGGAACAGCAATAACCTTTAACAGTGGAACACCATTTTCATGTTTAACTAAGAACAAACCACGAAGAATAAGTTGGCCATCATATCTTACAGATTGCCGATACTATTTTAAGCTGTGAACTATTGGAGACGAGCCATTGGATAAGATCAACATAGGATGAACCAGTCAATATGTGCTATTTACGATTAGCCACTTCATTTGATATATTAAGGACGAACCAGCTTATGTTTCATTGAAGACGAGCCATTTGAAAAGGCCAACAGAGGACGAGCTGTTTGATATGGCCAACAGAAGCCGAGCTATTTAATATGGCTAACGTTAGACGAGCTATTTAATATGGCTAACGTTAGACGAGCTATTTAATATGGCTAACGTTAGACGAGCTATTTAATATGGCTAACGTTAGACGAGCTATTTAATATGGCTAACGTTAGACGAGCTATTTAATATGGCTAACGTTTGACGAGCTATTTAATATGGCTAACGTTAGACGAGCTATTTAATATGGCTAACGTTAGACGAGCTATTTAATATGGCTAACGTTAGACGAGCTATTTAATATGGCTAACGTTAGACGAGCTATTTAATATGGCTAACGTTAGACGAGCTATTTAATATGGCTAACGTTAGACGAGCTATTTAATATGGCTAACGTTAGACGAGCTATTTAATATGGCTAACGTTAGACGAGCTATTTAATATGGCTAACGTTAGACGAGCTATTTAATATGGCTAACGTTAGACGAGCTATTTGATATGGCCAACACTGGACGAGCCATTTGATATGGCCAACAGAAGCCGAGCTATTTAATATAGCTAACGTTAGACGAGCTATTTGATATGGCCAACAGAAGCCGAGCTATTTAATATGGCTAACGTTAGACGAGCTATTTGATCTGGCTAACGTTAGACGAGCTATTTGATATGGCTAACGTTAGACGAGCTATTTAATATGGCCAACACAGAACTCAATTGAGTACCAGCCAGATAGCCAGCCTGTCAGCAGAATTGAGTCTCCCAAACTTATCAGGCTGAGATTTTGTGATTTCCCTAGGTGCTGTCTGTCTAACACAAGACTTGCTAATTTAGTGCCTTTACATACGTATTGTATAGGTATACATACATACAAACATATATATATATATATATATATATATATATATATATAAATATATATATATATATATATATATATATATATATATATATATATATATATATATATATATATATATATCTAATATATAAAGCTCAGTTCTGTAACGTGTGGCAAAAAACAAAAAAGTTTGTCGTTGACACTTCTACGGATTTAAGTGTTAGATTTTTTATCGTGCTCAAAGTCTAAATGTACGAGTCGAAAAATTACCATTGAAAGTCTTTAAAAACAATTTTCATTCTATTTACTTAGAAAAATAATTTTCAATTATGAACGCGACATAAAATTTTTAAAAAGTGCATCGACGTTTATAAAATTTCTAAAATTGTGTCGGAAATGTATTGACTGCAAAGTTACTTCCCTTTAATGAAAAATAAATCCTTAAGAAGAGAGAATTAACATTTTATTACTTTGTTTTTGGTGTTAAGAAAAAAAAAATAATTACACAATTAGCGGGGATTGATTAAGTGCAATGTCGTTAGGTATTTTTAACACTGCCTTTTATTTATTCTATACACTGAACATACTGTTCAATAATTATTATTTTTTTTTTTAAAATCAATAACATTTAATAAGCCAGGTCCTACAAATCATATACGTTTATTTCTTTCCATTTACGGATAAGCTTGGAGTATTATCATTTTTGTTCACTAAATTGAAACAGGCGCGTCCGCCGGCGCCCCTGCACGGTTTGATTTGGCACCCTGGGCTATCATGTGAGCGCTATGCTGCATAATTTTGTTTTAAACAGTGCTATAGACTATGGATAAGAAAGGTTACTATAGTCTTTAAGTGAATCAAATCCGGGCGTCCTCCGGCACCCCGACAGGGTGCTATTTGGCGCCCCGGGCCTTCCGGTGTACGCTATGGTATCTACGTTCGCGTGAGTTCAAAAGACTATAAATAAGTTATGCACTATAGGCGTTTACTAAGTTCAATCAGGCGGTGACGTCATGGTGCGTCCTCTGGCGCCCAGACAGGGTGCTATTTGGGGTCCCGGGCCTCCCGTGTTCGGTTTCGCGCCTACGTTCATTAAAGTGAGTGCAAAAGACTATGAATAAGTTGGGGTACTATAGTCGTTTATTAAGTTGAAGTAGGCGATTCAGCCCCGTGAGCACTTTGCGTTTATATTCGCGTTAGTGTTTTCTTTGTGTTTAGGTTGGGTTTGCGTTAGTGGTTGCGTTTTGATTTGGTTCGTTTTTGTTCTTTCTTTTTTCGTTTTCGTTTGTGTTTTATTTTCATTGGGTTTGTGTTTGTATTTGTGTTTGAGGTTGGTTTTGCGTTTGGATTTGGTTTGTTTTCGTTTGTTTTTTCTTTTGTGTTTTTTTTCTTTGGGTTTGTGGTTGGTTTTGCGTTTGTATTTGGTTTGTTTTCGTTTGCTTTTTCGTTTGTTTTTTTCTTTGGGTTTGTGTTTGTGGTTGGTTTTGTGTTTGGATTTGGTTTGTTTTCGTTTGCTTTTTTCTTTGTGTTCGTATTGGTGTTTGTGGTTGTGGTTGGTTTGTTGTAAGTTTTTGTTTTCGTTTGTATTTGTAATTGTGTTAGCGTTATGTTTGCGTTTTGTTGCTTTGGTTTTGGTTGGTTGTGGTTTGGGTGGGCAATGCCGGGTTTATGATGATTACTAAACACACAGGTGATGGTCTTTAACAGAAGGGTTTTTCACAGAAGCCAGAGCAGGGCCTGGCCGGGACGGCTAGTCTAATATATAAAGCTCAGTTCTGTAACGTGTGGCAAAAAAAAAGTTTGTCGTTGACAGTTCTATGGATTTAAGTGTTAGATTTTTTATCGTGCTCAAAGTCTAAATTTACGAGTCAAAAAATTACCATTGAAAGTCTTTAAAAACAATTTTCATTCTATTTACTTAGAAGAATAATTTTCAATTATGAACACGACATAAAATTTTTAAAAAGTGTATCGACGTTTATAAAATTTCTAAAATTGTGTCGGAAATGTATTGACTGCACAGTTACTTCCCTTTAATAAAAAAAATTCTTAAGAAGAAAGAATTTACATTTTATTACTTTGTTTTTGGTGTTAAGAAAAAAAAATAATTACATAATTAGCGGGGATTGAATAAGTGCAATGTCGTTAGGTATTTTTAACACTGCCTTTTATTTATTCTATACACTGAACATACTGTTCAATAATTATTTTTTTTTTAAATCAATAACATTTAATAAGCCAGGTCCTACAAATCATATATGTTTATTTCTTTCCATTTACGGATAAGCTTGGAGTATTATCATTTTTGTTCACTAAATTGAAACAGGCGCGTCCGCCGGCGCCCTTGCACGGTTCGATTTGGCACCCTGGGCTATCATGTGAGCGCTATGCTGCATAGTTTTGTTTTAAACAGTGCGATAGACTATGGGTAAGAAAGGTTACTGTAGTCTTTAAGTGAATCAAATCCGGGCGTCCTCCGGCACCCCGACAGGGTGCTATTTGGCGCCCCGGGCCTTCCGGTGTACGCTATGGTATATACGTTCGCGTGAGTTCAAAAGACTATGAATAAGTTATGTACTATAGTCGTTTACTAAGTTCAATCAGTCGGTGACGTCATGGTGCGTCCTCTGGCGCCCAGACTGGGTGCTATTTGGGGTCCCGGGCCTCCCGTGTTCGGTTTCGCGCCTACGTTCATTAAAGTGAGTGCAAAAGACTATGAATAAGTTGGGGTACTATAGTCGTTTATTAAGCTGAAACAGGCGATTCCGCCCCGGGCTAGACTCTGAGCACTGTGCGTTTATGTTGGCGTTAGTGTTTTCTTTGTGTTTAGGTTGGGTTTGCGTTAGTGGTTGCGTTTTGATTTGGTTCGTTTTTGTTCTTTCTTTTTTCGTTTTCGTTTGTGTTTTATTTTCTTTGCGTTTCTGTTTGTATTTGTGTTTGTTGTTGGTTTTGCGTTTGTATTTGGTTTGTTTTCGTTTGTTTTTTCGTTTGTGTTTTTTTCTTTTGGGTTTGTGGTTGGTTTTGCATTTGGATTTGGTTTGTTTTCGTTTGCTTTTTCGTTTGTTTTTTTCTTTGTGTTCGTATTGGTGTTTGTGGTTGTGGTTGGGTTAGTTGTTAGGTTTTTGTTTTCGTTTGTATTTGTAATTGTGTTAGCGTTATGTTTGCGTTTTGTTGTTTTGGTTTTGGTTTGGGTGTGCAATGCCGGGTTTATGATGATTACTAAACACACAGGTAATGGTCTTTAACAGAAAGGTTTTTCACAGAAGCCAGAGCAGGGCCTGGCCGGGACGGCTAGTATATATATATATATATATATATATATATATATATATATATATATATATATATATATATATATATATATATAGGAAAGGCACTAAATTAACACGTGATCAAGTGAACGTCTGACGATATTCTTACCTGTAAAGGTACGGTTCCACATGCGTCTTGTAATCTCAGAACCGTTGGAGATGGAGACGTTGGCAGCAAGGCTCTCGTTGAGGGCGAGGGCGTAGAGAATGACGGCATCATGGAAGGCACCGACGAAACTGTTTACCTGTGTGCAGGTAAAAAAAATGTTGGATATTTCATTAGTACTGGGTAGTTTTACATATGTCATTTACATGCGATTTAGTTAGTTCGAAGTTTTCTGTGTTCTTTGAGATTGGAGTCTTCGTTTGTTGTGTATTATATTTTAGAAGAAGTTAGTTTCGTTAGTTGTAATTTGATCGAAAAGACATTCAAAATAGCGGTAATTAGCATAACTATTTTGTTTGATGGATAAGTCGTTCGGTGAAGGTTTGTTTCTGTGAAAAGTTCTTGAATACATTGAAAACTTTCGTTTGGAGCAACGAATATCCCACGTAGGTATCATCCTAGTTAGGTCGTATGAATCTGGGTTTTCAAAAGTGTGTATTTAGTGTGTAACTATGCGTGTTGTGTATGTGTTATATAGAGTGTCTGTTTATGAATATGTAAGTATGTGTGTGGTAGACAAAAAAAAAAACAAAAAAAAAAAAACAACCCGCCATGATAATAAAACCTGGGGAAGTCCAGCTAAAAATAGCCCAAACATCTATTGAAGGGAGGAAACTGTGGGTTCCAGAAAAGGGGCCGAAATGTCAGAAGGAGAAAAAAAATTCATGCCAAATTAACCCCATAACGCGAGCCACAATGCGAGGGTCAGAGCGAGCGAGGTTTCATTAGTCAGGGACCTACTCGTGGTTGGAGGGTAGAGACTGCTGAATTAACTTGATTTGATGCCAGACTACACACTTACGTCACTCCCACTCGCCTTCAGAAAGCTCGGCATATACGCGTATATCGGGAATTGACAAATATACGTATTTGTATCAAAACAATAGAAGAATATGCATTAATAATTAAATCAAGAAACATTCCCATTATATATATATATATATATATATATATATATATATATATATATATATTATATATATATATATATATATATATATATATATATATATATATATATATATATATATATATATATATACATATATATATATATATATATATATATATATATATATATATATATATATATATATATATATATGATGTGTATGTTTACATGTGTTTATATTAGAGGTTACCCTTTCCGACCTGACTGTCCTAGGGACAGATAAAGTGGAGTTTTCCTAGTTATGTGATATCAGCATATAAGCTTATAGCGTGGTCAGCATTTTGCTAACCCACCTTTACTTTCTTCTAACTTAAGTCATGGACCTAATCAGAGCTGAGTGGACTCAAGGACGTTCTAGGGATTCAAAACCGGGATACGAACTCGAAGAATTTTAGGTTAACAGTTGTACGGTTAAACAAGACAAAACGAACCGGATGATTGCAATACAACTGAATATATATATATATATATATATATATATATATATATATATATATATATATATATATATATATATATATATATATATATATATACACACATATATATATATATATTTTTTTTCTTTTTCATACATTCATATATATATAATGAATGTATTGATTTTTTTGTTCTTAAAAACATATAACAAACGCTGCAAGATGTGAAACAGAAAAAAAAAATTCAATTTAGCCCAAACGAAAAGTGTAAACAACATTATAAAAATTTTAGCAATGAAATTTTAATAATTTTCCCCAAACATTGAAGTGTTAAAATATTTTATTTTCTAAATTTAGACGCAAAAGGCCCGCGTGAGTACATAAAGGCTACCCGAAGTGAAGTACTCACCGATTGGGTTTAATCTACCGTCGGTGTTTAATTTAAAGTATTGCGGGGATACGGGGGTGTATAGGTCAGTTCGCGGATGGCGACAAGTTTGATTGGAGAAATTGATGAGGCCGTGGACTCTTCAGTACGGCCTTCAGGTCATTATCCGCGAGGTTCAGTTTTCCGGTGAAAATATTCGAGGTTTAAGATACTATTTCAGTGTTTCGGCTTAAAAATCGAAACTTCAGATAAACATATCAATGCTAAAGATACACAAAACTAAAATATTCCACACTTAGTTTAAAGACAAATTTATACGCAGAAGTGTCTCCTTTATAGTATATTGTTTATCATTAAAAACTAAGATTTTTGTAAACGGGCAAATTTACGTTCTAAACCTTACGCACTAGATTTTTTTCAAATGCAATCCACGACTGATTTATTAATAGAAACATCCGCCATCTCTATTCGTACTGTGGTCAATACCAGAAATAAAAAAAAATACTTTACTTAGTATAAAATTCTTATAGTTTTGTCGAAGACTTACAATGCTGCTTAAAATAAACATACAGCCATTAATAAAGTGCTGAAACTTTACTACTCTGGATATTTGTAAAATACCTGATAAAAAGCCATGAATAAGAAAGAATGAGTCTCGGATTTTTAAAATAAGAGCTAGCCGCTAGTGAAAAAATACCAATAAATTAGCCACCGATATATTTTTAGAACAAGCTAGATTCTCCTTTACCGAAGAAGTACGAGCAAATTAGTCATTGAAGAAAGATGAAAGCGAAATTCACAATATTGGTTGTAAATGAAAAAAAAAACAAAAAAAAAATAAAAAATTAGTTGTTGGTTTAAAGTAACTCGAAATATACTTTATAAATCTATGTATTACTCGAAATATACTTGATAAAGCGGATTAGAAAACATAGTATTTAAATCAGTGTTTCTTAACCTTTTTGGGAGGTACCGAACCCAACCAGGCTCAAAAGCGCATTCACCGAACCCTTCAATCGTCCACGCTGACAAATTCCGATTGTGAATCATATGAGCCTGGCGTGTGTCTTGATTTCCGCCGAACCACTGAGACTGACTCACCGAACCCCTGGGGTTCGATCAAACCCTGGTTAAGAACCATAGCTTAAAGCTAAAAAACTTTTATTTACACTTCCTGAACAATTTATAATTAATTTCTGAAATAAAACCCCAACTTTAGCTGCAAGGTCTTAAAGGACAAATACTCGATTTAAGTAGCGGTTTGAAAAACTAGACTGAATTACCAGTGGGAAATTACAGTGTAATCATGCTTACATTTAGTATAGGTCGACCGGAAGTACGGATTGGCTTTATTAGTGGATCGTCCATCGGCTCGTGCCGTTCTAGCTTTGGGCTGTTTTAAAAGTCTGCTATTAACTCAAACTTAAACAATAGGTTAAAGGTTACGAAATGCGCCATGAACCAGACATAGGAAAGGGTAATACAAAAATGCTGTAGAAAAATAATTGAATGTGAAATTATTATTTTACTTAAGGGTTAAGGGAATTTTTAAAAATTGGTTTTTCGAAAATTTGAACATTCTTTGGTTGCTATAACAACCCCTCTAGGATAATATACAGCAAACTTCGTCTGCTTAAATTAAGTTGAGTGTAAAGTAAATACCTGCAGTTTAAAATAATTACATTTAATATAAATGTATTTTAAAAGGATATTATTTTGTAATTAAAAAAAAACAAAAAAAAACTAAAGTTCGTTTGGTTGCGTTTTAATTAAAATTTTAGATGGTTTTTTTTTTCTGGCTAGGAAAAACAACTAGCTGTACTTTTCATATATTCTACAAACAAGGTTTAATGTTTGAGTGTGATGAAGACAGTTTACAGTTTAGTAGTAGTGATCATACCGCCATCTTCAGAAGCCAGTTACTCGGAGTTCGCTACGTCGAGGCCTGCCTGGCTTATGGGAGTCCAACTCCTGAGCCGGTATATCCGTGTCACGATACAGTTTAGTAGAGGTTAGTTTACAGAACGAGGGGGGGGGGGGGGGGGGAGGGGGTGGTCAGTTAAAGTTTTTAGTAGAGATAAGTTTAAAAAGACATGGAGCAGTCGTTCTCAAGGTTTAGTTGCGACAAGTTAAAATAACAGCTGAACTGTCAGTTTAAGGTTTCATGATGAAAAATGTTTCCTGCTCAAAAATTCTTCTACATAGGATGCAAATATTAAGTAGGAATACAGTTTTAGGTTCTAAATTCATTACAGCTATACCAACAGATGCTTTTTATAAGCTGCAAACATTTAGTTTTGGTAGAACAGTGGGAGTGAGGGGGGTGGGGGTGGAGGGGGGGGGGAGGATTTGTCTGTACAAAAATTGTTTACGATTACATGGCGTTAGCGCTACAAAGTGTCTTTATTATGTTTTGTTTTTTAATAAGTTTTTAAGTAGAAAATTATTAATTTATGCTATCTCTAAACTTAGGGCAGCTTTAACAATAACAGCATTAATTTAAAAAGTGCATTGTAGAAGAAAGAATGACGTTTCACTTTTGATACTATACATTTGTATATGATATTACAAATGTGCTTGCAAAATAATGTCAGAAACATAATACTTGCATTAATTTACACCGTAAAAACAGAAAAATGATTCTTACAATCATTTGAACAGTACAAACATGAAGATCTTGCTCACTTCAATGTTAACAGTACGAAAATAATTTTTTTCTTAGATCAATTTAAAACAAAAAAACCGAAACATCTAGCTTACATCAAGTTCACAGTAAAAACAAAAACATCATTCTTAAAATAATTTGAACACTACAATCAAAAACATCATTCTTAAAATAATTTGAACATTACAAACAAAAACATCATTCTTAAAATAATTTAAACACTACAAACAGAACCATTTTGCTTACGTCATCTTCCCCATAGGTGAAGTTCGGATACAACTGCTGAGCTCTGGCCTTGACATTGCGAGAGAACTCTCGGTAATTCTCGTTGTCCGGTTTCATCAACGTGACTGTCATGAGCGCCTCGTACGCTTTTCTCGCTTTCTCGTTTCTCTCGGGGGTGTCCGTCTCATTGTACCAGGGGCGTTCACTCGAGTTTTTGCTGCAAGTAGGAGGAAGGTTCAAAGGTCAGCAACAAACGAAACATGGAACTGGTCGACTCAATCATGTACATGGGCAACAAACGAAACATGAAACTGGTCGACTAAAACATGTACATGGGCAACAAACGAAACATGTAATTGCTCGACTAAAACATGTAAATAGTCGAATGATAGTTAAAAGTACGATACTAATGTGTGTTGAAAATGTGTTTGTAAACGATAAAAGGCATCAACTAGCCTAACACTATATCCAATTACTAGGACATGGAAAATTAAGAAGGTTCCGAAATAATCGAAAAAAAAAGAGATAGTGATGGATGGGGCACGTCTTAAGAATGAATCCAGGTGATATCGCAGGAAGGGCTAAACTGGAAGCCTCAATGAAAAGGAAAACAGGGAAGGTCAACGGAGACGTGGAGGCTCACGGCGGGGAGAGGCTGGCAAGGCCAGGACTGTCATGGGGGACTACCTAGAAGGTTGCCGATGACCAACAAAAGTTGAGGGAGCTTTTTGTTCAGGCCCCATGTGTCTTTGGCACAAAAATGGAAAAGGTGATGAAAGTGTATTGAAAGTAAAATATTTTTTAAGTAAATGGTGTAGATAGGTAAATATGTTAACAACAATGCTAAAGTGTGTAGAGAGTACACTTACAATATTTGTTACCTAAGGTTGTAAAATTGAGCAGGGCTAAGTAGTCGACAAATGTTACAATATTAGCTACTATGATCGTTATAGCAAGTGCAAATAAGTGTTGAAAGTAGTAGGGCCAAAGTTTATAATGCTGTAAGATATGGAGTCCATGTTTTGGAATGAAAAAGTGGGACAGTGTAGGCGAAGCTGTGATGCGGTAGGGTAGTGGAGATTAGTGGTGGATTTAGGGGTCTGTTCTGACTTGCATAAAACACGGATCCCACCCCCTCACCCAATAGTTCTGGCGTCCAAAAGCAAGATGCGTTTTATACATAAAATAAAACAATTAAATTATCCATGTTACACACTAGGTAAAGAGCCCCCCCCCCCCTGCTTATATCAGGTGGGGGCTATTGACAAACAAAATCTACCCGTTGTGATGTAGTCATTATGCCTGTGTGATTTTGTCTAGTTTAAGCTAAGTAACACTTAGTAATGGAGGCTAATTATCTAGCCTCGTCTATCCTTCATATGTGCTATACTTATTCACGTATCTCAGTCATAACGATGAAACGCTTTGCTGCATGCACAAATATCACGCATGTCATCCGTACAGCCTTCATCTAATACGCCGATAAACCACTCGCAGAGCTGCGGATAATGGAGGGCAATTCTTAAGCCTCTGTTCGATCCTTCAGATTATACTCTACTTATTCACATATCTCAATTATAACGATGATATGCTTTGCTGCATGCACAAGCATCACAAATTTCACATGTACACTTCTACCGATACGCCGATACACAACCATCTAAACCCACGGAGCCGCGCCTCAACGACAATTACGCCGCAATTATACCGGTGCGCCTTTTTCCGCCCTGCGGGAAAACCCGCTGAACAACCCTCGCTAACACCGGCGGTATCTGTAGAACAATTCTTCACGCGGCGATGGGCCGCGTCACACCGCTCGCGGCCTGCATCAACTTCCGGCTTCCACGTTGTTGTTCCCGCGTCAGAGAAAACGATTAGTTACATTCGGCGGGTCAATACATCTGCAGGCGGAGGGACTATTTTTAGATAGGAATTATTTAATAGTAGATTTCTGTCGTCGACGAAGTCTCGCAAGCCGTAAATAACGCGTTACGATTTTTGTTTAAATAAATATAAGACAGTATGTTATAAATCAGAAGAAAGGACAGTATGATTTAGTATTTTGTATCTGAACGTAAAGTGTATATTTGATATTGTAAAGTGTTCGACAGGGTTAAGTATATAGATGACAAAACAGTAAGGGAAAAAAATAAGCAAATAGATACAAATATGATATTCTTTTAAAATACAGTGAAAAGGAAATAAGGAAATAGAAAACACGTGCTTTGTTTAGTGAAAGCAATGGTTAGGCCTACTCTAAGTCAGAATATTCAGATATGTATCATAAATCAAATTGTAACAACGCCTATTGTAGCAAATGTCATATTTAATAAAGTCATTGATAAAATGAGTCAGATATTAATAGTCAGCTGTATAAAAGAAGTCTGATTTAAATAAAGTTAGCTGCATAAATTAAGTAAGACTTTACTTATGTCAGCTGTATAAAAAGTCAGATTTTTAACAAAGACAAAGTGAATCAGATTCTTACATAGTCATCTAGATAAAAATAAGTCAGATAATAACAAAGTCATGACGGCATGCCAGAAGGCCTAGGTTTTAAAACTTTTATCCCGTAGAAAAAAAAATGATAAGGTTTTCAAGTGCTGGTTCTAGTAACATCAGCAATGAATGTCTAAAGCAGGATGGCAAGTTTAGAAAGGGGCATAAACGTGGCGGATAGATAGATAACACTGTTACATTTTTCTTTTAAATTTGATAGTTCCGAAAGTGTGGGGGATGCGGGGGGGGGGGGGGGAGATGTGAGGGCCTAGGTTGAGGGGTGGCATGAGTGGGGGGCGGGGCATAGAGGATGGAGTATGGAGGAGAGGCATGCAGGATAAGGGGCATAGAGTTGGAGGGGGTATGGTATTTGGTGGGGCTTGGAGGACGAGGGTGATGTAGGAGGAGAGGCGTGGAGGAAAGGAATATGAAGGAGGGGGAGGCGTGGGAGTGGAGCATGGGGAAGTGCAAGGAGGATGAAGAGCATTGAGAAGGAGAGTCGAGAGAATGAAATCGACGAAGAGAGGGGAGGTTTAATGATGAAGAAAACTCGGTTTGGAATCTTCTAGGAGCATACGTCATCAATATTATTTTCACACACCACACACGAGCTTAGTTGCATGTGAAACGATGTTGGTTGTCGTTGTTAAACTACAGATGTTAGAGTTTCTGTAAAGGTTAACACGTTCTTGCAACATACTCTTCCTTAAAAAACAACAGGAGGAAGTAAAATGGACCTAAATTTCTGAGAGAGGACTTCGTTGTAGTCTATGGTTTGCACTTAATGACACCACTCTTGTTAGTTCAGTCTAGGCAGTCGCGTTAAACAAATTAAAGAGAGTTTTTCTTCTGGTTTGTGTTTTTTTAAACTTTACATTTGTTTTGTTTATCGATAGGACCAACTACGAGCGTTTTTCTGTGAATATTGCTGTAATGAATACGGTTAGGTCAGGATTATGGTTATGATATAACTCACAAGTCACGACCGGGGTTGATTATAGATTGTGGCATTTGATTATGATCGGTGTTAGGATAGATGGGATGGTGTGGTTGGATGTTAGAGCGTTTGGCTGTTAGCCAGAAGGTCTCGAGTTCAAATCTTGGTTCGGACGTCCCTGAGTCCACCCAGCTCATACGGATACTTAAGTTGTGGAAAGTTAACGCGGCTGATCACACCATCTCTTCATATGCCGTGGTCAAGAATTAAGAACTCTACTTTAGCATAGATCGCTAGGTCTAAAGAGGAATCTTCCCTTTACCTTTATTGTTAAGATAGGCCTGTCTAGAACAGTAATCTTTACTTTTATCGATACGACAGGTTTAAAGTACAATCCTTACTTTTATCATAGTTACGAAAGGTCTAAAGAAGAATCTTTACTTAATATTTTTATCGTGACGATAGGGCTAAAAAGGAATCTTTACTTAATATTTTTATTGTTACGCTAAGTCTAAAAAAGAATCTTCATTTTACTGTTATTGTTACAGTAGAGATATCTAAGTAAAATATCCCATCTATACAACCGTGTCGGTAAAAATAGAAAACATCAGAATGTTTTTTAGTGTAACTTCAGCACCAGGGTAGGTGACTGAAGACTGGGATGTAAACATCAACAGTCCCAGAGTTCCAGAGTTCCTAAACCAGACAGCCAATCAGCGTAACGATCTGGTTCATTACACGAGGTGCGGGTTTAATTATCCCTTGCTAGTGAGGGCTAGAGTGCGGTAGTGGGGCGGCCAGATGATGGAGGGCGGTGGTGGGGCGGCCAGATGATGGAGGGTTAACATGAGAGGTCAGGTCAAGCAAGGGTTGATTCAAACCTTGGGAAAGTATGAGAAGTAAAAATATAAAGACGACATAGAATATTAAGTGAGTTATTCATTCAACATTTATGCACTATAAAACTAGTGTGTATAAAGTGTTAATTCGAATTTTAAATCACCGTAGATAATATAATAAAAAATTAATTAGGCGACCAATTAAGTCAAATTGAATGTCAAGATGCATTGTCTTCATGTCTTGACCCACGTACCAACTACGAACCGTATCTGTCAGTTAGAAGTGCCTGCAATTTCACACGGGCGTTTCGATCTAGACAGACTGACGACTGACGACAGACAGAGGAAGTGAGTTAAATTAAAGCTTGTAAAAAGAGTAGGGATTCATAGTAGATTTGTGAAATACTGTAATCTGTATTTTATTAACAAGAAAATGGAAGTTCGCTACTGCAAACTGTATCTCTTTAGAAAGAGCAGGGGGGGATGTCCTACAGTAACAAACAACCCTGAGCCTTGTTACGGTGTATGTGGGTGGGTAAAAAAAACAATGTTTCTCTCCATTGTGTGATTAAAAATGGAATGTTATAAGCTTGTGTACTGAAATGAGATTCTATCATACACATTTATTATAGTCAGAATGAAGAAGAAGAAGAATCAGTTATTATTCTAATCGATTCCTAAACTGATCAGCTATATCTCTGATCAATTCCTAAACCGACCGATTCCTAGTACTAAAACCTGATCAGTTTTTACTTCTATATTCGTGTTGCTGTGTTTGCGCTCACATCGTTTCTTGTTGGATTATCACTAGACTAAACATAGAAGGGCCGTGGGCTTACATGGGCGCTAATTAAGAGAGCCGCTCAAAACCGATAAAGAGGTGTGGCTGTAGCCCTATGCTCCCCAGAGTCCCATAAAGGATTCAGTGAAGTGAACCATGGATGCACAAAGCGATACGCCCATACCGTATGGTTAACAAAAAAAAAAAAAAATAAAAAAAAAAAAAAAAAAACCGCCACAAATATCAACCTCAAATTTTTCTCCCTTATTTAAACCCTCTGGCTTCACCACAGCTGGGCTTAACTACCCTACATATGGAAATCACACCAATTAATTATTGAAACGTGAATTAAGCTAATTGCCATTATCTCACCCACTCATCTAAATTACCGCTGATTAACTTATTCTATTTAATTATTACCATCGCGTCGGCCTTCCACGAACCTAAAAACGCTTTAAAGCACTTCAGTTTTTATCAATACAACATAAGCTTAACGCTAATTCACGATTTATCTTTGTCATATTAAATACCGTAACCTTTTATATTAGATATAATCGTATAGCTGGTATTGCCGCTTACAAAAAAATTAACCAATGCAATTAGGGCTAGGTCTCGAGTCTAGATTGTTGTGAACTAGCAAGTAATTGAGGTCCGGGTGTGTTAGTAGTGGGGATAATGTACATTCATTTACGACTCTAGCTAAGTAAACCTGTGTGTACGGGTAATCGACGGGTACCACCAACACTAAGATTCCCTTATACACACATGTTTTAGGGGATGTTAAATAAATAAAAAAAAAACCAACTTCGACGACAGCCACATTTTTTAGCAAGAAACAGTCAAAATAAATGAAATTTATTGGCTTTGTAAGACAACTATTTATGTAATTCCTACCCCCTTTCCCCAACCGAACATCCCCCCCCCCCCCCACACACACACCAACCCTTTATAAATTTCGCAACCCATTTGTAAGTTGAGATTCTAATATACAGTGTTATTTAGTGAGATAGGCCTACGACTGTATATAACAAAACAAAAGACTTTGATTAATATAATTCGTTGGTTCATTGTGTGTAAGGTGGTATCTTGAGATCAAATTAAACCGGTCACTTTGACCTTTCTGTTAGATTCTGAATAGGGTTATTTTTTAAAACCTTTTAAAAAAAACTTTTAATCCAACTCCCCGTTTGTATTAGTCCATTGTGTAAACATCCAGTCGTCAGTGTGAATCTATGGGTGTGAACGTACCACACTATGGTCTGATCTATAGATCTGAACGCACCACCCTACTGTCTGATTGACACAAGGTACCAACACACTGTCACTAGACACCAACACATTGACACAAGGCACTAACACACTGACACAAGGCACCAACACTCTGACACAAGGCACCAACACACTGGTACAAGGCACCAACACACTGACACAAGGCACCAGCACACTGGCACAAGACACCAACACATTGACACAAGGCACCAACACTCTGACACAAGGCACCAACACACTGGTACAAGGCACCAACACACTGACACAAGGCACCAGCACACTGGCACAAGACCACAACACACTGTCACGTTGACACAAGGCACCAACACTCTGACACAAGGCACCAACACACTGGCACAAGACCACAACACACTGTCACGTTGACACAAGGCACCAACACACTGTCTCATTGACACAAGGCACCAACACACTGTCACGTTGACACAAGGCACCAACACACTGTCACGTTGACACAAGGCACCAACACACTGTCTCATTGACACAAGGCACCAACACACTGTCTCATTGACACAAGGCACCAACACACTGTCTCATTGACACAAGGCACCAACACACTGTCACGTTGACACAAGGCACCAACACACTGTCTCATTGACACAAGGCACCAACACACTGTCACGTTGACACAAGGCACCAACACACTGTCTCATTGACACAAGGCACCAACACACTGTCTCATTGACACAAGGCACCAACACACTGTCTCATTGACACAAGGCACCAACACACTGTCTCATTGACACAAGGCACCAACACACTGTCTCATTGACACAAGGCACCAACACACTGTCTCATTGACACAAGGCACCAACACACTGTCTCATTGACACAAGGCACCAACACACTGTCTCATTGACACAAGGCACCAACACACTGTCTCATTGACACAAGGCACCAACACACTGTCTCATTGACACAAGGCACCAACACACTGTCTCATTGACACAAGGCACCAACACACTGTCTCATTGACACAAGGCACCAACACACTGTCTCATTGACACAAGGCACCAACACACTGTCTCATTGACACAAGGCACCAACACACTGTCTCATTGACACAAGGCACCAACACACTGTCTCATTGACACAAGGCACCAACACACTGTCTCATTGACACAAAGCACCGACACACTGTCCCAGCAGTTCACCAATTCAGCTAGTCTAGCGACAAGTATTTGCAATTCAGGATCTCCATTTCAACCAGTAGCCTACAGCCAATGGCGATTTCTCTCCCCCATCCAAGCTTATCGCGCATGCGCTAACGATCGTCCCCTGAGCCCGGGGGTTACGGGGACCCAGAGAAAGACATACAGACCTGGGTGCTGGGGTGAGTTCTTGATAAGGGGGTGGGGGTAGAAAGTTCTAGTATTCACAACAATGATTGAATATAAATCGTAGAGATCTGATACATTAACGTAAAAATCTCTTCATCAGATAAAGGAATATTTACAGAAGAAACTGCATGTTAAATAAGAATATATATTAAAGTTTATGATGAGAGATGGTGTAAAAAAAACAACAACAAAAAACAACAACAACAAAACAACAACAACAACAAAAAACAACAACAAACAACACCTTAAATTGTTTTTTTCCTTTGGGAACTAGCAACAATAGGCTGTTGTGTCTGTTTTATTTTCAATTTGTGTTGGACTTACTATAATCTAACAAAATCTTCCATTAAGCTTGTTACCCGCATTATGGAAACATAATCCATTTACAGCAACGACAGCAAATACACACGCAGCACGCTCAGATAATGTGAGTAGTTAATTTAGGACAATGTTCCCATGTTCGTTTCAAGAGATGGTTCACTATTTAGTTTAGACCCAGTGAGGGAGGCATCACGTGGCTTATAGGATACGCCGTTAGAGAATGCTCGTACACTTTATTGAATTACATTATGGCAGAAGTGTTCTGAAATCATGTACTTATACGAATTTTGGTTGGAATTGGGAAATGACATCAGGCAAATGCATAACTAGATTGTGGCTTTAAAGTCCACATCACTAAAATTACAATGATATCGTGAAGCATAGATAAGAATAGGTGGGGGAGATGATGTGCAAGAATAGGTGGAGAGATGACGTGCAAGAATAGGTGGAGAGATGATGTGCAAGAATAGGTGGGGAGATGATGTACAAGAATATGTGGGGAGATGATGTGATGTGCAAGAATATGTGGGGGGAGATAATGTGCAAGAATAGGAGGGGGAGATAATGTGCAAGAATAAATAGGTGAAGAGATAATGTGCAAGAATAGGAGGGGGAGATAATGTGCAAGAATATGTTTGAGACGATGTGCAAGAATATGTTTGCAAATATGTGCAAGAATAGTTCGTTAGTAAGACTTACAAAAATAGGGGAGGGTGACGTGCATTAACCTGGGGGAGGGGGATGTTTTATATAACTCACCTGGCAAAAAGATCGATGTTGAAGAAGACGTATTCACCGTTGTCGAAGTTGAGTTCATGGGCCCTGATCATGATCTCACGGACTGAGCTCGGAGATGCGCACAGGACGATCACTGGAAATAGAGGAGGAAATATATATGTTAGTTGTTGCACATAAGGCAATCACTGGAAATACAGGGGAACATATATGTTAGTTGTTGCACATAAGAAGTTCATTGGAAATAGAAGGGGAAATATATGTTAGTTGTTGCACATAAGACATTAACTGTAAATAGAAAAAAAAGATTGTGAGCGACTAAGACAAGAATGTTATTGCGAAATAGAAAAAGTAAAGTGTGGTTGAATCACAGAATATAGGTCACCTCAAGGTTTAATAAGTGTTAACTTTATTTTACAAACACTTAAGAGAGTCTCGAGTTCAAATCCGGGTTCAAATCAGTCGAACATCCCTGAGTCCACCCAGCACTGGCGTTAGGGAAAGTAAAAGTGACCGGGCATAGTGCTGACCACACTATCCCTTCATATGCCGAGGTCACAGAAACAAGTGAGAACTCCTTCACTTGCCCCGTAGACCGTCAGGTTCGAATAGGGAATTTTAGTTTTACTTTACTTTAATAGAAGATTGTAGAGGTTATCGCAAATTATAAATTATTTATATAACGAGGAAGTGATGTGGGCGAATGCAAAGAAACGTAAACAAAGGACGTTTTTACAATGTAGGGATACAAAAACCAACAACAACAAAAAGCTACAAAATTATATCAGCCTCATTAGATTTCGGGGTGGGCTTAGTTTTTTGTTTAATTAGAATGTTATATCCTTAAAAATTATTTCAAGAAACAGTAATTAGACATTAATTAGTCGTGTGTGGATTAAAGCTCTCGGTATAATTAGTGTAATCAATGTCAGGTTAATGAAAATATTTTTTTCTACAAAAGTCAAAATGTGTATCACTACTGAGTGGATGGGGGGGGGAGGTGGTTAGGGGTGGAGGTGTTAGATGTATACAGAAACGTACCGAATGAGTCGATTTAGTTCGAAATGGAATATTAGAAAATCGATGAATACATTTCCAGATTACATGTCGGGGGTATCTGTACTAGTTCATTCTGTGGTAAGGTTACTGAGTTCTTCAGACATTCAGACGATATTCCAACCCCCCCCCCCCCCCTCCTTCTGCTTCCACCTCCGTCCCCACTCCTCCCCAATGGACTTCTACAATTCCTCAGAATCAGAGAGAGAGAGAGAGAGAGAGAGAGAGAGAGAGAGTCATTCCTTCATTAGCGACAATCTATTTACCAGTTTGGTGCCGCTTCATTGATTTCATCGCCCAGTTGGGTCTTTGCTAATGGAGGCAATCAAAGAGGAAGGAGTCAAATGGTGGTGGCTCACATCCGGTTTGGTGTGGGGGTCGGGAGGGTCGGGGGTTGTGGGGTCGGGGTGGGGTTTTATTGTGATTGTAATTTCTAGGGTTGGTTTATTTGTGTGAAAAAGGTGTGATTTCGGGTTATTTTAAAATTAGTGGGGAGGGGGGGGGGGGTGTGGTTATTGATTTGTTATACAATATTTGGCAGATGTTGGTTTATTTCTCGGTTATTTGGTGATCGGGCTTAGGTAAATATTTAGGGATACTTAAGCTTATTATTTTGGAAAGACGACTACTACGTGTTGGAAAATTTTGGTCATTATGATCTGGGAGTAAAGTGGGAAAAAGAGTGTATATGTGGTCACTATGATGTGAGGGGTTAGGGGGAGGGTGAATATATGGTAAGTATGATGTGGGGGTTAAAGGGGTGTATATGCGGTAACTATAATGTGGGGATTAAGGGGACAAACAGAATGTACGCTCATGTTTACAATGATTGGGTTTTTTTCTTAACTTTTTTCAAAACATACGCACATTCTTACAACCGAAAAAATCAATACGTTTTGCATTCGACCCTCACCTAGACCCAACCGGCGTCTTCCTGACTGGACCGGAGCTTAGAGCTTAACCCTCGACATCTGATGTAAGCGGATACGCGTAAAACAAACATTTCACAACAGCAACATATTTGGCTCCAAGTTTTACACTCAAACATCGATTACGTAAAATTTCCAAGTCACAACCCTCCATTGATTTAGCGTTCCGGCCTCAAAGAATGAAATAAATATAAAGTTTTATAGTTAATAGAATTAAAATCTAGACTAAAAATGAGAGTCCTTTTAAAAAAAAAAAACACGATGTAGAGTCTTGACCAATTTCTTTCTGTATGGCTGACAAATATCTTCTCTGTGAATATCGATACTCTTACGTGGTATCGAATACCCGAAAGTTAGTACTTAACTTAAGTTGGGATTTCTTGTGTTTTTATCTATGTTAGGTTATGTGCTATATATATAATTTATATAGAAAATATATACTTTTACCAGTGTCCGCTTCCATAACCACCTACCGGAGAAAAAGCGAGAAAGAAACACTGGTACTATAATTAAGTGCTATGCAGTATTTCTTTCAGGCATCTCTTCTAAATATAATTTATTTAGAAATACACTTTTACCAGTGTCAGCCTCCTCGAAAAAAATTTAGTTCACCACCCGAAAGTTTCAAGTGAAAATAATTAGTAGGCTGAGACTGGGTATCGAATTATAATACAAATCTCAACCGGTACCGTATATCGGAATTTAGCTGAATTAGTTCTATAACCGCTAGCTTGTTGTTTTTTTTTTAAATAACGGCGCATGACGTTAAAGTAAACAATGAAGATTTGTGTGCACTGAAAGACACAAGGCGGACAGGACGAGATGGTCATGAGGTGAGATGTAGATGGGGAAAAATGATGAAGTGCTCGTTCACGGAGACGAAATGTGAACAATACGAACGAATCCCATGTGAGTAAGAGACGTGAATTATTCACCGAGTTCGTTTGCTCTTATCTGAGATTGAGTGGGGGAAATTAGAAATATCAATCTAGATATGGCTGGAGTTGGGGGGAGGGGGATGTGTGGGTGGTGTGTAGGTGTGGTGGTTGATGTGTTGGATGTGGGAGAGTGATGTGTGAGGGATGGGTGGAGATTGGGGTGGAGGCGTGTAGGGTGGCGTGTTGGGATATGTATGGAGGGTGGGCGTGGTTGTGAGGGTAGGGTGAGTGGATGATGTGTGTGGATTTATGAGGTTGTGTGTGGGGAGTGTGAGTAGATGTGTGAATGGATGTGGGAATAGGTTGATTTTCATTTAATTTGCAACGTTTGTTTGTTTGTTTATTTGCGGATCTGTGGCAATCTTGTTCTTATATTATGTGTGTGTGTGTGGGTGTGGGTAACGTTATAAAAAACAATGCTTATGTGAATGTGAGCATATGTGTATGGGTAAGTGTGTGGTAGGTGATACAAAAGAGAATGATGTGATAGGTTAGTACGTACATATGAGGATGTATGGATTTTATGTTTATGAATATGTGAGGTGGATATCTGGTCTGGGGTATGTAAAAAGGATGTTCGTTTAAATAATTATTGGTCAAGGATGTGTGATAAGGGATGTGTTCGTGAGGTAGGTTTTCAGTAGTGTGTAAGACTATTAAGTCAGTGTTAAAGATAAACGGTGTTAAGTTACGGATGTGTGCGAGTGATTTTTATACAGCGATGTATGAGAATGATGTTTGGTGAAAGATGGATGCGAATGATGTTTGATCAAGGATGTATGAGAATGATGTCAGATGAAGTGTGAAGACCCAGCAGTCTGTCTGTTGTACAACAATATATTCAAACATCATCAGTGTTGACGGGCTATCAAATATCTCTCCCATTCATCGTATGGTGGAACAACCTCAATAGACCAACAATATGTATCACGTTACACACACGCATAGTACGTAACCCTATATTCCTCATCCTTGTCTCTATAAAACAATACACTCATGCATAAGAAATAACCTTTTCAAAAACCGCCCAGGGGTTTTCTAAATTTAACGACCGTCGGGGACTACGAAAGGAAACTTAAGTCGTAGAAGAGCAGGGTTAGATTACGTGGGTGATTAAGGTTGTACATTAAACATGAGCATGTTTTGTTGTATAGAAAGTACCAAGTTTTGTTGTATAGAAAGTACCAAGTTTTGTTGTATAGAAAGTACCAAGTTTTGTTGTATAGAAAGTACCAAGTTTTGTTGTATAGAAAGTACCAAGTTTTGTTGCATAGAAAGTACCAAGTTTTGTTGTATAGAAAGTACCAAGTTTTGTTGCATAGAAAGTACCAAGTTTTGGTATTTTATGGGAACTATTGTCATGGTGTCGCAACTAGTAAAAAAAAAGGACAGTGGTTTAGATTTAACGAGATGTTGAAATGACAAATCCATTTTTGGCGATAAGAAGATTTAGTATAGGACGGCGTAGAGAGGTAGACCACTAACCCGAAAGTCTCGAGTTCGAATCCGGGTTTAAATCAATAGATTGTATCTCAGTCCAACCAGGTGGGTACATAACGTTAGGGAAAGTAAAGGCGGCTAGTCATAGTGCTGACCGCACTATCCCTTCATATGCCGAGGTCTCTGAAGCAGATGAGCTCTACTTCATCTGCCCCTTGTGTCTTCGGCACGAACCGAAAAGATGGTGATGATGAGTAGATTTACAGTAGGAGATGCATTTATAAAGTGTTTTGTACGCTTTGAATATTGTGACCAACTTTCGATCGTATTGTTAGTATCAGTCTACCCACAACTATCGTATTTGTATACAGACTGTACTCAGATCTTTATAATGCCGTTTAACAACTTTTACATCGGCATTTTTGTATTCATTCAGCCTCGGCATATTTCAAAAAATGTCATTTTTAAGGGACCGAATGCAAATTTTGATATAGAAACTTGTTTTGATTTATTTACAGTTTGTTTTAGACACGCAAAAAATGATTCGTTTTTTCTTTACATTTTTTTTTCATCTCGTGATTTGCAAATAGACACAGGCATGGTAGAGTCTTCCGTTCATCATGACTGGTCTCGTATATGAAATGAGTCCAGCTTTATGAAACATCGCTAGAACCCCGCCCTACCCCTCATCACTGTGCCGGCATATTGTTTCATTTCTGTCTGCATACATCACACTTTTAACATTCGTTCCAAAAAAAAAAAAAAGAAAAAAA